ATATATATATATATATATATATATATATATATATATATATATATATATATATATGTATATATATATATATATATTATATATATATATATATATATATATATATGATGTATGCATGTTTGCTTGTATGTATGTATGTATCTATGCATGTATGTATGTATGTTTATATATATATATATATACTAATCAACACACTGGAAAAGTATAAGATTCCGCTTTTGCAAGAGCGAAGAAACTCTCGGTAGATACGTAAGCGAGATGTGAGTCATATTACAAGCGGTGTTCTCCCAATAAAATGTGAAACTACTTCACAATGTTACAAGCGGTACACCCAACGCTTTGTCTTCGTTTCCAAATCAATACTGAGAATTAGTACTTGAAATCAATGAAATCCCAGTATATACGTTTCGATCCATCGCATAGGAATAGTTTCCTTCATTCAGGGTTACTTTTATTTGTATTCTAAGTAGCGTGTTTGGTAAATTTCATATCACTAATTTGTTTCCACGCCATGCGTAAATGGCTACCACTGACCGCATCCCCGCTTCTAATTTGGCGGGCTATTTCCTGGACAACTGTCGCATTGATCGTTGGTGCGACAAAAACCGTTTTGTACACATTTTCTTGCCTCGGCCAGTGTGAGTCTGATTGTGTATGCTTGCTTGTCTCCGATATTGAACCGTTGTGCCTGTATAGTTTCTCCAATGTAGCCACGCACACAGCACGCAAACTCTCGTCAGAGGCACAGCATCCCGCTACCAACCAGGGCAGCTTGTGTGCCAGCAGCAACGCACACATACCCACACGGGAGGAGGCTAGGTACGCCAGCCGGTACAACTGCGCGCTTGTATGCGCATCAAGACCCTTCCTACCCAAATGTCCCAGTGCTGCCCAGATACACTTATCGAGCACCAGTCCGTGTTCCGCGGTTCTAAGTGTCGCACCACTCACACTTGCATCACTGGCAGACGCAGCATACGAAGCAATGGCCTGGGCGAACATCACCATCACAAATCTCAGCCATATGCCAACGTCGAGCGTAGCATCTAGGCGACTCGTCACGTATTTGAACACCTCCGGCTGTATGCCGGGGTGCGCGAGGATTAGTTGTGAGGTCATCGACGACAGCCGGTCTACCGCATGGTCTATTACTTTCTCCTCCACGGCAACGGCGTTTTCTGCCGCGGTTTCTAGGTACACCAAGGCCGCCGATAGGTAGGCATAAGCAGACTCGGTATTCGCGGACACTGGCCATTTGAAGCGCTGTGTGGGGTGTAAGAGATTCGGTGCACGATGACATCGGATCGCATACCGTTTCTCACGAATACATATGTCAAGCAGCAGCCTACCTAAGCTCTGTAGAACTAGGGTGGAGGTTTCCTCGGCGTATCTGCCTACGAAAAGGATCATCGTATCATCGGCCACGACGTAACGGAACCCCCTTAATCTCAGGAAACACGCCAGTATTTTGATTGCCAACAGCCGCACTTCAGAACTATCGTAACTCAGCAAGCGTATGAACGTCTCCCACACAAAGGTTACCTTTGCAGGTCTACTGTCCCCACACGCTGCAGTGACTGCCTTCCTCTCCATAAGGTCCATCATCACGTTTTGAACTTTGCCATCTTCAGCCTCCATCAGGCTCAACATTGAGTGCAACATGGACAAGGTCATATCCATCGACCAAGTTGTGTACAAACACCCCCGCCCCTGCTGCACCATGTTCACAGCATTACATAGACCAACCTCAAGTTTGCCTACAGCCTGATTTCTGATAGAAAACGTGGACATGGACATAGAGGCCACCCCGGATGCGCACGACACTATGCTTTGACGCAGACACCGTATCAAAATGAGATTGAGCTCTTCATACTCTTCGGGATGTAAATTATTAAGACTATAATCACCCGTGAGTAACTCACCATTCGGTCCTATACTGTCTTTGCGTTCAACAACCATCTCCGCACAACGTTCCAGCACTTCCCTGGCCATGACTTGCCCCCCGCTGTGTGTGATAAAATACTTGAGCAGATCTGCGGCGCTGAAGTGGTCTACACTTTGCTTACAGTCAGACTCATTTAGCGCTATATCGAACCCTTCGACGATTAAACCAGCCATCGCTTTTGAGAAAAAAGTATCTAATTGACAACTCTCATCATCTTGGCCCAACTTCGAGAAAGTATCCGGAGAAGGGCTTTTCAGGAGCGTTACCATGGTTACCAGGTAGGACCAGGGGGCTGTCCTTTGCGTGACCATGTTTTCCCATATCCGTATCCACATGTGGAATACATGGAACTTCTGTGTGTAGTCACAGTGTGTTGCAATACTGTCAAGCAGGTACTTGAGGCTAATACAGCACGTGCACTGCCGTCTACTTCTTCTCTTCTTAGCTCTCTCAGTGCTACCTGTGGGTGAGAGTCCTCCAGCCTCAGTCTCAGGCCCACCCGAGCCTGACACACACAGCAACTGATACGCCAGTTCGCTAGCCGTGATGGCTTCTCTATCACGAGTGCTAGTGTCAGCGGATTGTCCATCATCTGCGAGAGAGTTCTCACGAGTGATTCTCTGGCTGAGTGAGTTTTTCCTCGGCTTGCAGGGAGTGCTATTCTGACTGAGTAGGGGCGGCCGCTTTCCAGAAGTTGATTTGTTTAGTTGGCTGGATGTATCGGCATTCCTGCCATGTCCGGCGTGCCTCGCGTCCCTGCGCACATAACCCATACCATTCCAACCCACGACTTGTCTGTGTGTGTTAAGTTTATCACCGTCGCTCCGCGTGTCTGGTGGGCCCCCAATGTACCGTGGCGTGGGATTCACCGCAGCCGAACGCATGCAGCAGTCACATGTATCCTCCGTGGACAAGGCACGGAAAAGACTCTCGTTGCTAAGCAATATCTCCAGTGCACACGCTGCCCGCGAGTAGGTGCTGGTGTGTGCCGGTGGCTTACTATTTTCTGCAGCATTCGTAGAATGCACGGTAGAATCCGGTGTAGCATACGATGAGCGCATACCATTGCTCTGTTCAGGTTCAGATACAAATGTTCTAGCAAACACTCCTCCGTAAACATTTGGGCTACAGTTGCGTGGTAGCAAGTCAAGGACGTTAGGTAGTAAGATCTGTTTCAGCCATCTACGCAAGGCTGGGCTAACCTGGCGTGATGTGACACGAGAAGAGTCTCCTGGGAGCATCACATGCAGCAACAGTGTTTGAATGCACTCACTTGCGCGATTGTCGCTATGGTTCCTCCGCCTATCTCTGCGCCGAAAGGAGTGCTGCTGCTGCTTCTGGTTGTTGTGATAGTACGTGCGTGCATGCGTGTGCGAGTATGCATCTCCCTTCGAACAATCCATCGCATCATCCACTCCACGGACTCCCTGTGACACCAGAAGCGATCTCAACAGATCGGCCCGGTCTAAGTTACCTACTTCTAGAAAGTGTAACCTGACCTCAGTCCCCCAAGTCAGCAGCAGCTCAGTACCAGCAAACCTATCAATCATCATCTCACAATCGTACATATCACTTACTAACCCCACCACCTTACGCACAACCGTACGTTGTATGAACGTATCGTGCTTGCGCTCAAACTCGTAGCGTATAATACTTCGTAGCAGGCGACGTATGCAGTCCTCCACTACCGTGTCGCCATAGTACAGTGCTAGCCGCTCCAACGTATCCTCTTGTCCTGTTAACGTATCTGTGGCCGTCTTCTCACGTCGATGTACTCGTTCATGTTCATCAACATGCACTCCATGCACCCCCATCGCCACATTCATACCACCCACACCCGTAGAGGCGCGTACAAGACGTTCAATGTGTGCGACGCGTTCGCTTTCCCCAAACCAGTTCAGGAAATAGGCTGCCAGTCGTGTTAACTCATACTCAGCCTCAGACACTCGCTTAACCCGTGCCGGTCTTTCGCTAGGCTGATCACCTGTGAGATCAGCCCAGTCGGAAGCGGAAGGGCGTTCATTGGGTGTGTGCAGACAACAGTGGGCCTCCACAATGTTGTTCATGAAGGATTCGCCGGGTATCTCGTCACGTGTGCTTACACTCACACCATGCACACGATCCTTGGGTGGTGATGCTTTTGTAGGGCGTGGTGGTACGTGCTTACTCTGACTGCGACACAACAACTCCCACGGTTGCTCGTCCTTTACGAACATGTACTGCTCCTGTGTTATTAGTCTGAGTAGCGATGGCTTCGCGACAAATGATGTGAACTCCGGGTGTCGCACTATAAAGTCAGCCAGCACATGATCGAATCTGGTATCCCTGCCTCGACTAGTAGCAGGCCATATGTATGCATACCGTATCCGTGACGATAACGCTGAGGAAAACATAGCCAGCCCGTACTGTTGGCTCGCCATAGCGCCCTCCCAGTCTCTGACATACCGGGACACCTTGCGCTTCAGACTGGCACGATCCTGAGTGTCTAGTCTATCCATCTTGACAGTCAGATTAAGCCCCCCTTCAAGCAATACAGGCACCGTATCGGCGGAAGAAAGCGTGCTAGATCTCCTGGTAGAGGTAGCCGAGTCGCTCCGGTCGCTCTGATCATTACCCTCCTCAATAGCTCCATTGAGAGCAGAGATTCTCAGCTTTTGTCGCGCTGGCTCCTCGACACCCCCACTACCACCACTAGAATGCTCAATTAGACGCTTACTACGGACCACGCGCTGGTTATCAGGGCTTGGGATACATCCGTCTAGGCCACCTTCGAAGTATCGCTGTAAACATTGGAACAGATGGGGCATTTGCCTCTCTCGGTCAGTTATCATAATCGTGAACTGCACATAAACCGCGAACTCTGGCTCCACACTATCCATGTCGTTAAGCCCGCGGACCACACTAGCGAATAAATGTTGGCCGCTGGGAACAGGCGTTGATAATGTAGTATAATTATTTGTTGACAGTGTGGAATCGTGCAACACAGCGTTGAGGTGCTTTAGTATACTTGGCCGATACCCTGCGTACTTGCTGAAAATCGCAGCGAGGAGCACGCCGCTCCGGACTTTTGAAGGGATATTGTATTGAACATTACTGTCACATAGATAAGTATCTAGTACAAACCAAGGCACAGACGCCACCTCGGTTGTGTCCAAAATTTCAAGGACAAACTCCACAACGACAGCTTTTCTTGCTCTGAGTATCCCTATCGAGTCGGCGTGGAGCAGATCGTTTAACACACTTTTGGTCAAGCGCCTACACACTGTGGCATGGTTACACAGTGGAATGTCTAGTGTTTGACCAGTGAGGTTACGGTATACTCCATCTATAGCTTTGAGTACAATACAGACTGATAAAACCGCGTCAGATTTTAACACTTCGCTGCTGTTGTTCGTCGCAGGTAGTCCTAAAGGTTCGCAGCTCTCCAAACGACAAGCCCAATCCTTCAGGTAACTACCAAAATATGTATCAGGAAAATTAGTTAATACAAAGCTGGATAGGATCTCTGACTCCAGTTCTAACGTCTGATACCATGCCATCACCCCTCTGGTTGCCATTGAGGCTCGGATGTCGCCGTGAGCAGTACGAGCTGAATCGTCCGAATCGTTCCCGGCTCGTCTCAAGCTGTCTTGGATCTTACACACCCACAGATGTTTCGCTACGAAACACGCTTCTAAAGGCCTGCCCAAACTGATGCTTATTTGAACTTGGCGCGCTATATCGTTCACCGAGGATAGGTCTTCCGGATGTCCGAATATTGCGAGCATACCATTGGCGGCTGCTGCTACGTCACTAACAGCCCCTACATTAAGAAAGCCCTCTCTCCTCCCATCGCGCCCAGACCACACCTTGATAAAAGGGCCCACTAAGGCTTCGTGCATTTTAAGAAGATTTGATTGGTTGTTCCATGTGCTCCAATCATGATCCAGTAATAGCCGCGTCACTTCCAGCTCTAAACGCCTGTGGTGCTCACTCGAGTAGGAGCTCACGGCACTATATTCCACATAGTATTGGACATTCAACAGAAGTTCACTACACACAATGTAGTTCACTAGCATGTGCCCAAGGCAGACTTCTAGTATAAAACGGCTTATCCGGACAGGCCTAGCTACTTTGTCGTCCAGGTTGTTTCGGTGGTCAATGGTGTATGGGGCTATCAGTGGCACTACAAGGCGCTTGACAAAAGTCAGCCATACACTGTAGCAGTCGTGACGAACCGAGCTTTCTGACACCGCCGGCATAGTGAATGCAATTTTCTTGAAAAGTGAGCTACACAGAGCCTCAACTACTTCAAGCCAAGAATTGCTTGATTCCGCCTCGCCCAAATTTCTAAGGATGTATTCTAGGATGTCTAAGACCCTGTCAACGTTAACCCGCTGCTCTTCAGCTGTGTTTGCGTGGAACTGCTCGAGTTCATTGTTGCAGCTGCGTGTGACACTGTCAATTAATTCTGGAAACGCATCGAGGATTTTTACCACCGTAGGGGCATGAGTTCCAGCCAGCAATCGAGGACAAACCTTGAAGTCATCCCTATAACTCTTTTTAACAATTGTAGACTCGAACGTTCGCAGGCAATCATCTTCGCGTTGCACCCTTTTGTCACATCGACAAATCCAATTTCCGTCTAGATGGTACGGTGGTGTCTCGACTGCCACCTTTGCCTTCACGTTTATGTGATCTTCCTTTTCTCCGGACGCCATGTGATCAGCCTTGCTTCCGGAAATAGTAACGTGCCCAACCATTTCAAGGCCATGAGGAGAACTCCTACACGTGGCCGCACACGGTGGACACGTCAACTAACGCGAGCGCGAGCGTGTGATTGACGTTATCGACAACGAAATGGCAGTTGTTGGGCTCGCAAACGTTTACAAGCACCCGCATATGAGGTGCACAGCTCTACCGGGGATACAGTAGTTTACGATGCGTTATAGAAAAGCGCTGTGTAGTCGACGACGTTCGGTTTTGGTTGCATACTACAGCACACAAATTTCTACCAGGAGACCTAAGAAATGTCGAGTAAAAAAATATATTGCAGAAAGAAATCAGTAAGTATAACGAATAGCATTGCATTTATTAAACAATCAACTAACAGAACATGGTTTCACGAGGTCGTCATCGGATAGCTCGAGTGGTCTTGTCAAAAGGATCCGACGAGAGCTCACGAGACCTCCATGACGGTATACCAGAAAATGTGTGCACGTAGATAGAGAGGGGGAAATGTGCTAACATTGGATCGGATCGAAATAAGGTGAATATAGGGGAGAGTGGGCTCGGGAGCGATAGGCCAAAACATACAGACAAGGTAGAAAGGGGCCAATATTCTATCAGATGCGGAAATAGCACTTAAAACGTCATACCAGTTGTTTTGAAGAATGATGACGGGAAATTTTTGAAAATCGGAAAGAGGTTCGGTACCAAATAATGTTGTTTCTGCTGTTTCGACTTTGATTTTCATTTTTAGTGACATTGGTTAAAGTGTCCGCAAATGTAGACAAACATGGGCCTTTATAGTTTTGATCTATTTATTTATGTATTGAATTTTTGATCGTTTCAGAATTTACGGAGTATTATATTTTTACACCAACCCCCGGGCCACTACGACCTACGTTTCGATGCTATACAAGACAACTAAAGAGGTGTGAATAAAAAAATTAAAAAAATTGTCATCCATTAAATATTGCGGAAAAAAAAGGGGGCGGTCAAAATCAGTCTGGAACTCTGACTCTGGAGCCTGGGCCTCTGCCCTCAGGGGCGGTAGGCCCTTGTTTGGCACTGGGCCTGGGACCCGAAATGACATAGGAAATAAATAAAACAATTGTTTTTCTTTCAAAATAAATTCAGGAAAAAATGTCTGTCTGGCAATGATGAGTGATAAGGGAAAAAAAATTCTAAACAAAATATGAAATTAATAATTGTTAGTGTGTATGTACAGTACCAAACATCATAAGTAAACATTTATCGAAAAAGTGAAATGTGAAATTTGATTTTTTATACGCTCTCACTCTCGAGTGTAACGTAAATAATATACGTGCACGTACACAATTT